TGTTGATACTTTCCTTCCTCTTTTCAAAGCTCCTCAGTTTCCATTCTCTGTTGCTCAGCCAGAAGTTGCTGAAGTTCCTCTATAAACAATTCCTCTATTTTTCGCCACCAGTTCCTCAACTTTGCCACTGTCTACCTGCAAGCCTATGGACTCTGCTATAGTGACAGTGTCATTAACCACGGGGTAAACTGAAGGCTCAGCTCCTCTACATAGCCTTCAAAATTTATCTCCTGTGTAATTTTAAGCCACACTTTCTTCCAGGGACGTCTTAGTGTCCTTAGAGGGTCATTGGTCTAGGACTCCCTCATTAACTCCACACAGGAAAGGGTGTTGTAATGTTCCTTCCAGAACTGTTTAAGGGTTAGGTCTGTATCTGAGACCATCTGGAAGCACTTCAGGAACAGTTCGTTGGTGTATAGCTTCTTAAAGTTAGCTATAACAGGGTGGTCCAGAGGCTGCAGAAGAGCAGTTGTGATAGCCATGGGAATCCTCAGCCAATTCTTCCAAATCTCATGGATGAGCAGGAGCGTTGTCCATGATGAGGCGAGCTCTGAGGGATAAACCTTTGTCTCCTAGATATTTCTTAACAATAGAACAGAAAGCCACCCTGATTCACTCAAGAAAAAGTACTCTCATTACCCAAGCTTTTGTGTTAGAGTTCCACCTGACCTTAGCCTATTCTTCATGACTATATGTTTTCTGAACTCTCAAAGTGATAAGCTAAGAGAGGATTTATCTTGAGGCCACCACTTGCATTGGCACATGGCAATAAGGTTAGCCTATTTTTCATAGGCTTGTGGCCCAGCATTTTCTTCTATTCCTAAGTAATGTATATTATCCTGGATATTTTCTTCTGGAAAAAGCCAATTTCATCACAGTTGGAAACTTGATGAGAGCAAAAGCCATTTGTCTGTGTTATTGTTTCAAAGTGGTGTATGTAATTTTATCAGCACTGGCTGCTTCACCATGCCTAGTTATGTTAAGAGCCCCAGTTCTTGCCTTAAAATTGTGAAGCCACCCCTTACTGACACAAAAGATTTCACCATTATCACTTGTTGGTGGATTATTCTTTATGAGATCTGCACTTACAGCCCTAGCTTTTTCATAAATTATAGACTCAGGCCACCTGCCTTTCATTTAACCACAATAATAATAGCCTTTCTACTTTGGACTTACTAATTTGAGTAATAACTTTGGCAACACTAGCTTCCTTATAAAAATCTTTCTTCTGTAAGATTGTTGAGATGGTGGATTTTGACAGGCTGTACATATTAGCAAAATCGGTTACTCAAAACCCACTCTCTTTTTCTCCACACTTTTCTTCTTTTTGATTGTGATTCCTTTCTTTATCTTCATCTTCCTTTACTTCCTTAGTTTTTGGGGGACCATTTTGATAGCAGTAATCATAGCAATTACACAAAGCAATGACTGAAATCATGTCCACAAACATGCATTTCTGGTCTCAGACTGATGCTTATATATGCTTACATATCCTTTTCTGGTAACCTGAGTCTTTGTTTACAGCTGAACAAATGATCAGGATTTGGCTTATAAGTCAAGTAATTCAAGACTTTGGTCTTAAGTGAAACCTAAAATTCTGGTTGTAACCGAAGTCTGTGAAGCTGGTCATAACCCAAGGGTCAACTATAATTTCACAAAGGTGTAACAGGCTCTTTTTCCTCAGATAGTGGTAGGAAGCACCATTTTGTGGGGGAACTTCACAGGCTTTCTTCCATGAAAATAACATCAAATGAAGTTGAAAAGATTTGGAGACTGCAGGTATCTCTTGGGAAGCTTTGACAGTGACTGAGTTTTTAGTGTTACCATTCTAACCAAAATCTGCATTGTGAATTATGAGTTTGTCCAAATAATGATTAAAAAACTATGAGAAGGTCTGGGGATATAGCTCAGTGGCACAAATGCCAGCCTGGAAAGTATGAGGTTGTGAGTTCGATCCCTGGTACCTCTCTCAAAAAAACCTATGAGAAATGTGATGTCTTTGAATCTTAGCATTTAATTAATTTTAAAAAGTTTCCTCTAATGAGATGACATGGTGAAATTATTACCTTACATAATTATAAATGCTAATTCTATAGATAGAATATAAATATGACAAATTCATGATATCATGGTACTAGGTTTAACCAGAGCGCTACTATTTTCAGCAACTGCAAATACACTTTAACAACCATATCATGTGGCTTCAGGCTGTCCTTTGGCCTTTTTATGGAAACAACAATTTGATTGGAACTTGCTGAAATGTGCTTGTTCAGTATTCATCCATCCATCCACCCATCCATCCATCTCTATGCTCCAAATGCATAGTGTTATAATGATGAACAAGATTAAACTGAACTCTAGCTCATAAAACTTATTGCCTGGTTTTATATGTCTTTTTCATTTTGTGTTTTTCTAGGAATTTGTTTTATTTTGTTTTACCCTCTAATTAAGAAAGGATATGTACACATGTAGAGACTCATGCATGCATAGAACTTCTAAACAGTTTATAAGAATTGATTCCATAATGCACAATGAAATGAACAGCTACTTTGAAGAAGAGACACTAAGGTACCCAGTGCTGATTCCATAGCATCATGATGTGAAATCCATCAATACTACTATTCTTTGTTCAGAGTGATTTTAGTCTATTTTGTTTAATTTCAACATACGTGAAGGTATGAACAGCTATTTTGAAGAGAATGAGAGACACTATGGCAGCCATTGTTGACTTCCTTATTGTCTGGTCTTGAAGACCTGAAATGCCTTCGTCATCCTGTTCTGATCAGTTTTATACTGTTTGGTTTGTATGAATTCACTGTATGTGAAAATATGGACAACTATTTGAAAGAAAACAAGAGACAATATGATAGAGAGTGAAGATCTCTGGTTGTCTTGCTTTGAAATCTGTGTCTCTTATATTGTTTTCTTAAGATCTGTTTTGTTCTGTTTTAATTTTACCCTCTTTAAATTAAATTAAAAAAAAACTTATTGCCTGGGAAAAGTTCCTTAAATGAGAGAGAAAACAACAATGAGCTGATAGTTTTATTGTAATATTTTTTAAAAAGAATAAAATTATGCATAAAGTATTTTGAGGGATATTGTGATTATTCATATAGAAGGAAGGAAGATTGAGGAATGAGACATGAGAAGAGAAAATATTTGAATAATGCCTGTTTAATTTTTTGAAAGTATATAGTAATAATCATTATACTGTCTATATAGTTTTATATCATTTACAGGAGTTATGCAAACCATGTGAAGTACAGTGAATTTTATTTTCTCTGTTATGTAGATGAGAAAAGAGTCATAAATATTTAAGGCCAAGGTCTCACAGCTCTATAGAACTTAGAACTCTTCCTACCACTTTTTGTCTTACAAACAATTGAAAAAAATCCAACGCTCCAGTGTAATGTCCTATACAACCACAAATACTTAACAGAATATAAGTTATTCAAGAATCCAAGTCTAATACAAAGGAAGGAAAACAAGGACCATGAGGAGGAATCCCTCCGCTCTGGGCTATTAAATCGGCCATCCACTAAAAAGCTATTTTGGTGTAGAATTTTAGAGGGCATGCAGTGCATACAGCAGCATCACTGACCTGATTTCTTCACTTTCAAGATCTGAGGAAACCAAAGGCAGTTTTTTGCGGGGAGGGAGAGGCCAACGGAGGTTGGATCATTTGGATAGCTCAAGAGAATGTTTGTTGGGAAACTTGGTTTAACCAGGCTAGTGCTCTAGATTTTCTGTGAGCTGTGTTCGATTCATCAGAGGTGGTGCTGTTATAAACAAGGGGCAGTTTTGTATTTCTACCATGCAGACTTAGCAATTTGTCTCCCCTCTTTCCTTCCCTCCCTTCCTTCCTCATTTTCTTCTGTTCCTCTCTTCCCTCCTTCCTCTCTTCCCTTTCCTCATTCCCTGTTATTTTTGCATTTTCTTCTTATGGGGGCATAACTAAGAAAAGATTAATATTGAATTTGCTATAAAGCAGTTCTCCCAGGCAATGGCTCTTCAGTATAATTGTGATACCTGAAGCAATTTTAGCCCCCTTGTACACTGGGATTGAGTTAAAATGGAAATGTTTCTCTTACAGTTTCGTTTATGGCAGCATGGACACTTTGTTATTAACTGAGAAATTGAAACTTCTGTGGAAAATAATAAACTCTACTATGTTTCAACTTGATTCTTTACCTCAGATCCAGCATCTATCTAGTTTAGGGTAAAAGATTTCTTCTAACATTTTGTAGTCTTAAATTTAAATATGTAAGGTAATAATGAATAGCTTTTGGCCCACTAAATCATATTTTTCTCTAGAGTCTGTTTTTTTGTACTTTGGTAGCACTTGTAAACCATAAACATTTTTCTCGTATGCCATCTTATGTTTTATATAAGATCTTAACATATTCTCTCTCTCTCTCTCTCTCTCTCTCTCTGTCTCTCTCTCTCCCTCCCTCTCTCTCTCTCTCTCTCTCTCTCTCTCTCTCTCTCTCTCTCTCTCTCTCTAATATACTGCCCTGGCAGTTTGCTTACACATATTGGTTGGTTGAAGAATGATTGGTGATTTCTGGAAGGATCTGGAAATACTACATGCTCCAGCAATAAGAAACAAAAAAGCCTGCCTTTCAGCCCTATGTAATCCTTTATTTGTTCATTCATGGGGAGAAGGTAAGGAATTGCTTTGGCTTTCAAATAGTCACCTATCGTATCTATTGAACAGAGATGTTTGTTTATCTGGTAGATAACATTAGATTATAGAGACTTTCACATTAATCATAGTATGTAATTTTCAACAGTTTAGATGCTCTCTCTCTCTCTCTCTCTCTCTCTCTCTCTCTCTTTCTGTTTCTGTTTCAGCAGTTACTGAGGAGGAAAAAAGGATTAGAGGGACTGCAAAAATGTTTGTCATGTTTAGATTGCTGGCTACTTACTTTATTAGCAGATATGGGCAGTGCCTCAGGTTTAACATATTGGCTAGAGGCTGGAATAAATCTTAACCGTACCTGTTCCAAAATCGTGTTAATCCTTTCAACTTCACAGTCAATCAAGTATCGCTTTTCTTGCCTTCTGTCCATTTCTTCAATGATGCGCCTGAATTCTTGGACATCCTTTATGCTTCCCACAGACCTTGCTGTCACTTGCCAGTTGTTTTGCACTGCTGCTTCCATAATCGCTTGTAGGATAGAAAATCCTAGAGAAAGGAAAAAATAACAGCTACGATGATTTGTTTTTTCTTTTAAAAATCTTTCAGTAGGTGTTAAAACTTCTACTGACTTTCTATTTACAGTCCTTTGGGTTCCTTTGGGTTCCTTTGAACTTTATCAGCTGGAGACAGCAGGCTTACTCACAACTCAGTCTTAACCCTCCAGACAGTTGGCATCTCCATTTTGTCTTAAAAAAAGAAGATTCTACAACTTGGGAGCATAGGGCTAGGTGTATATCCAGTTTCTATCCAAAAGTCATGACTGAACTGTAGTACCTAATTGTTTTATTGACGTGCATTATCCAAAATATCTAAGACTTGAATGTCAAGATCTTTTTCCTTATATCTGGCTGAAATTTTTCCTATTGCAGTTGAAGTTCATTTCATCTTTCACATAAGCATTCTTCAGAATTAGAAATAAGGTTAGTAAAGATAGAACCCTGGTAAAACATAGCTCATTTGCCAGGTGCAGTGACATATGCCCAATCATTCTAGCATTGGAGAAGCTGAAGCAGGAAGATCGTCATGAGTTCAAGGCCTGAACTACACTGAGTTCAAGGCCAGCCTGAACTACATTGCAAGACTTTGTCTCAAAAATAAACTTAAAAAATAAAATAAAACACAACTCATTCTTATATAGATATGATTATTCAGCAAGGTAAATTGTGTCTCCCCAAAAAGTAATTGTATGGAAACCTACCAAAGACAGTATAATAAAGATATAACTCTTACCCTTTTATCACAGCATTATGAAAAATTTCAATCATATTAAGGCTTTGTGAATTTTTTCCCTTTCTCCACTAAATTTGCCAAAAATTTCTTGTTATTTTTTAGTTAACTTATATCAAACAGCTATTAACAAGTAACACTCTGTATCTATGTTGAATGGGAAAACACAGAGAAGATATGATGTCTGGGGCAACCTATTTGGAGTTACTGTTTGAGAAATTGAAATGAATGGAATGCCTGAAGTATGAACCTAAAGAGTAGCACGTGGGTTTTGTATGTACTGGTCTTTTAGAGTAGTCATATGTCTAATACTGTATGTATGTGTAGTTTTGCTTCTGGTATGAATTCACAATCTAAGTGTAATTTCATCAAGGATAGACATCATTTTATTGGGACATTGTCAAAAGCACCTCCCTTTTTCAATAAATTTAGATGGTTTTTCATTTTAAGTCAGGTGATGACTAACGGTAGTAGTCGATAAGGATAATTTGCAAAGTCAAAATAATAATCTCTGTTATTATAATTCGACCGTTGGAGTAACAGAGAATGGAGGAAGATGGCGCTGCCCTTTGAACACAGTCCACATTCTGTGCTGTGTCGCACTCACCCTGTAGTGTAAGCAAGCTACAGTTTGGAATAGTCCTCACTGTACCATAGAAAATGGTATTGGCATTTAGAGAGCATGCTTCAGGGAGATGGCAGCAGTGACTCAGCTGGTCGTTACAACTCCTTTGTGTGCTGGGCATATGCAGGAAGAAGATCACAAATGAGACCCAAGCACTTGGTATTTTCCAAATGAACCACTTCAGCACAGAAGCTCAAAATTACAGATCAGTGTAAATTACCATCGCTTTGAATGTTAATTCTTACTCTTTTAAATCCAACCACGCATATTTATGTCTCAGATTTACATTTTCATGTGGATTTTTGAGGTGCTCTCTGCTTCGGTGGGAGTTGAGGGCTCACTGTGGGCCAAGGCATGGGATTAAGAGGCAAAACCAGGAAGAAAGAAATTAAAGCATTTGAAAATCTTTCTTAAGCAATGTACAATAAGGCCTCATTATTCTGAATCTTAGTAATTAAGAATTTATGAAAATCTAGCAAGGACTGTGCTGAATTTTACTTCTGAACTATTTATGAAGGAAGTATTGACTGAATAGTAAATGAAATTACACAGGGAGTTTTCGATTTATTTAAAGCAAACTTTTCCAAAGGCTCTTTAGCAAAATACAGCTGTTTATATATTGAGTGAGAACCCACATTCTCATAATCTCTACTCAGTGGTTCACCATTTGGGATGACACAAAACATTTTAATCCCTTTTTCCATGTGGCAGCCTTTCACGTTTTTTGAAAGTATTCAGCATGTCTCCTCAAGTTAAAGATCTCCCATCCCTCCAACAGTTACTTTTATGACATGATGATAAAATTCCTCACTGTTCTATTTCTCTTCTATGAATATCTGTCAATATTTTATTGATCCTCATAAATCAGAAGTGATACGACCAGCAAGTATGGATGGCAATGGAACTATTACTTGCTTTGATGTAAGTTGTTATTTTAGCAGTCTAGGATTGCTAATATTTATAAATAGCAGAACTACATTGTTAATTAGTATCAAACTTGGATTCAATGAATATGTGTCATTTTTTTTTTTTTTTTGTCTTCTTCCTTTTTATCGGTACCAGGGATCGAACTCATGACCGCCTGCTTGCAAGGCAGGGGCTCATGCTGCTGAGCTAAATCCCCAGCCCAATATGTGTCATTTTTATTCATTCTTTGCTCTGTTGCAACTCCAGAGTCTTGTGTCGATTCATTTTATTTGAACCGTCTATCTCCTTTTCTTCATTACAGTCCCTCACTTTATTTTACTTCCTGCTTCCTCTTTGTTTTATGCTCTTTGAAATCTGGAAAATGGTGTCTCCACCTATTCACTGTTTTCACTGTTACCTGGTCAACAATAGGCTTGTTCCTTTACCAGCATATTCTGCTTCTTATAGACTTTTGTGGGTCCCCTTTATGAACATGCTTTTACTAGCTTCTCGTTAATTTCTCTGGAGATGACTATATTTAAATTCAAGGTTAATCACTTAAAAGAAATGGAGAAATCTGGTAAAGAACTGTATCACCGACTTTTTAAAATGCAAAATAAAGCTGGATAAATGCATTGTGGAACCATATTGTGGTGCTTTTTAGAAAGAGAACTTAATGTATTTATACTAACAAAGAAAGATTCCCTCAATTATGTAACTTATTATGCAATACGTAAGAGTAGAAAAAATAAGCTACAAATTAGTATTTACGTTGTAATTTCATTTTTCAGTCAACAAACTATATATTTATATATGCATAGAAAAATCTAAAGAGGTTGACAGGAATTCTTTCTGAGATATAGGATTAGCAAGAACTTCTATTTCCAGTGTCTTTTATTTATGTAATGTTTAAGTACTTTATAAGATGCACGTATTATTTTCTGTAGAAACAATAAAGATCAAAAAGTACGACTCATACTATCCTTGCAGAGCATAAGACAAGTGTGACAGGTGAGCAGTCTTCTGTACGCTGCCTCTTGCCACAACTGTGAACTCTCTTTTAATAATCAGTGGTTTTGTAAATTTTCCGTATTTCTATTTTTTGGAGCCATATGAATGTAAGACCCATTCAAAAATTAAGTAGACAAAAATACACTGAAATTTTTAGTGAGTGTATGTCTAGGGCCTGCTGAGCTATGAGCCTTGCTCACATTTTTATTTGCAAGTCACAACTATGGCTTAGTACTGCAGTGTCTTTAACATGAAGAGTTTCTCTGTGTCTGCTTGAGCATGTGACTGTTGAAATCTGGAGCCCTGGGCGAAATCATCACTTAGTTCAGAGCTTGTCAATAAGCAATCTAAGCAGAGCTTTTATTTGTTTTCATAACTAATTTATTGTTGTTGGACTTCTCCATGTTGCAGCAGAACACAAAGTAAATTCGGACTTGAAAGACAAAAAAAAAAAAAAAAAAGAAAAGAAAAAAAAAGAAAAGAAGAGAATAAAAGGAAAATAGTAGCTTAGGTTTGTAATGAAGCCACTTTGCTGTTTTAATAGGTTCAGTTATCCACAGTGAGTAAACATTAAACATACCCAAATTTGCAACGTTAAAAATTCTTTTTATTTGAGCATCAAATTCTCTCATTCTGGTTTTAAACCACTGATGTTGTTCATCTTTTTATTCCTTCTTTTAGAATGGAGTTACCGTCTAGGTAACTGAGCAAAAGCTACATTTTCATCTGCATTCATCCAAGATAACAAAAATATATGACAATAAAGGAATATTAAGGCAACAACAGATGAAGAACTGCACTGCTGCTATGACCAGTTTAATTCTACTGAGCTTACTGTTGGGCTACTCTTGGCAACCACCCGACCATCTTGGTAAAGGATAGACTAGTGAATACTGTATAGCTAGATCCTCCTTTAGCACTACAGACCTTATTCGTTCAACAGCTTGGAAATTTGCTGGTGAAAGAGACATGCCTGACTTAAAGTCATGCTTTCTTTCCAGGACAGCTTGTACTCAATGACTCATAATGAGAGAGTATCAAGGCACAATTCCCTTACCCCCACAGGGTAACTGCAAAGACCCATTCCAGCTGCAGAGATCCTTGAAAGATAAGACTGAGGCCTTGTCATGACTATGCCACAACCCGTTTTCTCTTTCTGCTCTAATCTGCATCCTTATTTTCCCTTCACAAGTGTCAATAATAAGTATACTCCCAATCAGCTTCCTACATATTAATCACTATTTCAGTCTGCCCTTAGGGCATTCAATGAATGACTACCAGGTTGAACTCATGAAAAGGAGGTCAACAGATACAAGAAGCTCTCATATCCACAAGTTGCAAAATGATTTTTCCAGGAGGAAAATGGCCAGGAGTTTTTTCAATGTACAAATAAAATTAGGTCCAAATACCTGCTGAGCAAATTTACTCTTTGATCTGAAAACATAGAAAAGCAACAAGATCCAAGAAAATATAGCTAAAGGTAATTTTCTTCTTTCTACTTCACATCTGCCAGTATGGGCTATCACTGCCCATTGCTCATAAATCTGTACCAGATCTTTTAGAGTTTTCCTGTCTGTGTTTTTTATATAGTCTATGCAGTTTCCCAAATTATGGGTCTCAGCTATTGATAAATTGGCTTCCCAGAGTGCTGACATTTATAGCAATTTGTGTCTGGCACAGATTAGCAGAAGGTCTGTCACAAACACTGAAAGGGTTA